AAAATAAAATTTAACTAAAAATGAAAATTTGACACAGTGAAAATAATCCTAAACAACAGAATACTCTAAAGTATAAATAAAGGCGAAAGTAAAATAAAAAATCTGTCAAGTAAACATGAAAATAAGAATGAAATTATCTAAGAGTGAGAGTGAAAATGAAAATGAAAATAAAAATATATCAAAGTGAAAGTAGTAGTAAAAATAAAAAAAGTCAAAGTGAAAGTAAATATGAAAATAATAGTCAAAATGAAATTAGGTAGTCGACCCATTGGACAAGAAAAAAACAGAATATTTTTAAAATTTTTTTTTGTCACCACCTTTGAATCCGTCTTTTTTTCATTCACTATTTCCTTTTCCATTTCGAAAGCCTTAAAAAAAGAGTATTTCCTCTTTTTTTCTATTCGTAAGATGTTACAAACCATTTGTATGAAAAATTAATGTTATCAGTCTCTTGGAAATTCATTTCTCGTATTTCTCGTATCTGAAGGAATAAAACCAAAGGGAAGAGATGCCTTGACGCTGTTATGGGAATAAAAAGGAATAAAGAAGAGACGAAAAACGGAAGTGAAAGGAGACGCGATAAGAGAACAGAAAGTGGAAAGAGGGACACAAAAAGAGGAGTTTGGGGTAAAAGGGACCTTGGGGGTAAAAGAGACTGTCTCTTCTCTTTCTCCTTTTTTCCCTCCCTCCTAATGGGGGGAGGAAAGAGGGAGGGGGGAAGAGAAGACAAGGAGGTGAAAAAGGAGGGGAAAAGGTAGAGGAGGGGGGCGGGGTTGAGAAGGTATAACGGTGAATAGATAGGGGGGTAAAAAGGTAGAGGGGTGAGAAGGACCATTCCTGAGGAAAGAGGGACAGAAAACGTGACTCCGCCCAAATTGTCCCTCCTCCTCCTCCTCCACCCCCTCAGTTCCCACCCACACAATCCCTTCGCGATGGCGAAAGGACCCTTAGACCTGTGCTGTGCTAATGGTTTACAAACAAACGGTGACGTATGAATCTATGCGCGAATCAGCCATGACGAACCACTTATACACAAAGAAAGACGGATTATTAATTTACGGGACGGTATATATACCTAGACTTATTATTGTCCCTTGAGATGGCCTGGCGTCTGTTCCGAACAGGACAAATGTTCGGTAAACAGAAAAAGAGAGAGAGAGAGTGAGAGCGTCGAGTTAGAGAAAGTAAAAGCGAGGGGGTTCAATGTTGAAGAGAACCCAAACCAAATACTGAATCGTTCGTAATGATGCTGTCAATTCTATAAACTTCTGCTCTCGCTTTCAATAAAACTACACACATATTTCTCTTATTCTTCATTTGCCATTCATTTCGAAAGGGAAAAAAAATAATTCATATTATATGAGATGGGATTTGACAAAAAAAAAAAAGGAAAGGAAAACATTGTTAAGGGACTGATGTGTCCTTTCAAAAAAAAGGACTTGCTCTACATGGAAATTGTATAATAATTCAGAAGGAAGAAAGGGCGATGTAATCAAGTATTCCCTTATGCTTTTAAAATGTGAATAAAATATGCACTAAATTTTCTACGAAATTTTTTTTTTCATTAAAGTAGGTACCATTATTTTCTTTTTAAAATTGTTAATTCAGGCGAATGTAGAAAAATTCCTTGGAAACTGACACTTTTAAACTGGAATTTTCCTAAAAATTGCAATAGGAAATTTCGTATATTTCCCATCATTTATTTATTCATTTGCTTATTTATATTTTACAAAATTAAATAATTCTAATAAATTCTTACAAATACATGGAACTTTCATATAATACTGTATTTCGCATTTATTTATCTTTTTTAAATAAATATTCAATTATTATTTTTCCATAGAAATTAAAATTCTTCAAAAGATTCAAATTCAAACCTTTTTGAAATTAAACAACTTATAAAAAATTATACTTATTAAACTAATTCTATTAAATTAACTTATAAAAAAATGATTGACAGATAAAATCATTATTTTATATTATAAGAATATTGTTACTGTAACTTATTCAAAATTACTTTCTTCACTTTAATTCAATTTTTATTTTTCAGAATTTTTAACTAAAATTCTTCTTTAAATTAATTATTTTTTAGAATTTTTGAAAAATTTCTTTGAAAATTTTCAAATCTTTTTGTTTACAATTCAATTTTACGAAATTTCATCGATAATTCGGAAATTATTCAATTAAATATATATTAGAAAATAAAAACTTCAAATAAATTAAAGAAAATTTAATTAAACATTTTTAAAAAAATTAAATCTACACAATTTTTAGTTAGAAGTATGAAAAATTCAAACATTCAAAAATTATAATTTGAAATTTTTTCAAAATTTAACTATTTTTAAAAATTTACTCTATAATACTTTCTCTCTAAATTTGAATTAGTAAAAAATAAAAATGTTTATTAATTGGAATTAGTGACTGACTTTTTGCTTTTGAATTAGTAAATTTTACTATTAAATTAGTAAAAACGACTATTTATTAGTAAAATCTGCTAATTCAAAAGCGAAAAGTCAGTTACTAATTCAAATTAGAAAACATTTTTACTACTTTAAATTTGGAGAGTTTAATATTCAATTATTTCATATAATTTTAATTGAAATTCATATTTAAATAAATTTTTATTAAAAAATTCTACGAAAATTCAATTCTTTAAATACAAAAATAAATAATTTATTGAAGAATTGAATGTTTTTCAAAATTGAACTTTCATTTTAAGAATTTTATAAACAAATTTTTAAATACGTAATTAAAATTCTTTTGACGAATTTTAATAAAATTTTAAAGAATAATTTCATTTTTCGAGAAATTAGATGAAAATTGTATTAAAAATAGTTGAATCTCTGTAAAAAAATTGACAGAATTGAGAAAAGTTTTTGAAAATATGAAAATATTGAATTCTTATTGAAACGAATTTTAATATTTCATTTTAAATAATTGAATTCTTTTGTGAAATTTTATTAAAATAGTAGATATTGAAAATAATTTAATTTTGATAAATTATTGAAATTAATCAAATTTCTGCGTAGAATTTTATTAAAATTATTTTTAATAAAAATTGAATTGTTAAAACGAATTTCATTAAAATTTTTGAAAATAATTTAATTCTTTAAAGAAATTTAATTAAAAATGTATTGACAATAATAATTAAATTCTAATAAATAAATTATAGGAAGGCATTTTAAAATAATTGAATTTCTTTGATGAATTTAAATAAAATTTTTAAGAATAATTTCATTTTTCGAGAAATTCCATTAAAATTTGTATTAAAAATAATTGAAATTCTGCGATAAGTTTAATTATTTATGAAAATAATTGAAAACCTGTAAAGTTTTTTTTATTATTCATAAAAATAATTGAATTACTGTAAAAAATTTGATTATTTATGGAAATAATTGAATTATTGCAAAGAAATTTATAAAGAATTCGTAAATAATGGAATTCCTGTAAAATTTTTATTATTCAATTAATTTATTCAAAATTGAAATTTTACAAAATTGCAAATTAAAACCTTTTGAAGTTTATTTATTTATGAAAATTGTAAACGTAACTGCTTTTTCAATGTTTATTTATTATTTACATTCATTTTTTGTATATTTATTACTTATCTTTTATTTATAATAAATACAAAATTAAAAATTGAACAGAAATACTATGAAATTTAAATAAAAAAAAATCCCGATAAGTTTAAAGTTTTGTAAAAAAAATTCAAAGTCGCATAATAAAAGAAAAGAAATATAAAATTTCTAAAAAGTATTTCTAATATAGGATTAATACGTTATAAAGAGAAAATTTATTATAAACAATTCTAATTCTTATTGAACGCCAGTAGATTGTTTAAACAAATAAATAAATTGAGGCAAAAAAAATCAAAAGTGTTTTGAAGCAACGTTTTGATTCGTTTTCTGTCTCAATTTGATATCCTTAGAAAAACTGTGATACCTTATTCTTCCATTAAAAATAAAAAAAATAAAATAAAATTCTTTTTTCTACTCTAAAAAAAAAATTTGCATAATAATAAATAAAAACTAGAACAACTACACTTTTCCCCCTTTTTTTCATTGTGAAAAATTTATGAAATATTTATCCTATATTTTTCAATGAAAATGAGAGAGGAAAAAAAAATTGTCAACTTCTTTTTTTTTTACCAACTCGGAAAAAAAACAAAAATTTACATAATAATATTTAATAAAGGATAACAACAAGCGTCTGTATACGAAAGCTCTAGAAAATAAATCGTCGAATTAAAAATGTGCAGTAGAATAAACCGAATTTTGGTCAGACAGAAAGAGCGGAAAATTTAACCATGTACCTATCATCAGCGTTTTATTTTTCATTGCGTGTGACCACATTACATGTACTCTATATTCTGTGTAATTTCGTGGACCTCTATACGTTATTGTAATTGACACTGAGAGTTAAAAAGAGAGCGAGAGAGAGAGAGAGAGAGAGAGAGAGAGAGAGAGAGAGAGAGAGAGAGAGAGAGAGAGAGAGAGAGAGAGAGAGAGAAGACAAAGAAAAAGTGAGAGAGAGCTCTGCAACATTTTTGTGGGCAAACCAACCATTTCTTGTATATATCATGAACAACGAAAAATTAAATTTTGTATAAATAAATTTTAATTTTTCAGCAATGAGTTAGTACTTCTGTCGAGGCTAAAAAAAATTTATATATTATAGTTTTTTTATTCAACTAATTTTTAAATATTTAAATGAAATGAAATTAATTCATTCAATAGTTTGAATATAAAACTAAAATATGTCTTTTTTGCCCCGTACCTTTTGCACCCCATTCCTACTGAAAAAAAACTATTTTCTCTATTGATTCCTATTGCTAAAACTTTGTAGCCTTTTGGTCAAAAAAATGAAGTCAAAAATAGTCAAAAATTTAATTTACCATATTTTTTTATTTATTCAATTTCTTTTATACCAAAGGCCACAAATATTCTACCTTTTGAAAAAACGATCTATGACTAATATTGAAATTTATTTTTATGTTACAGGTGAGTTCACTTCCCACCTATTTTCCCTTATTCTTCGTGGTGAGTAATTTTCATTATTTTCATTTTATTATTTACTTATTTTATAATTATTTTATAATAAAACTTTTGATTAACATAATGTCATAGTATATTACATTTTTTATTCTTTTATTTTTTCGTATTAAAATTTTTATTTCATTATTGATTGTATTATTGAAGATAATTTTCAAAATATTTTATTTAAAATTCATTCAAATAAAATTTGAATTAAGTGGAAAAGAAAAAAGTCATTAAAAAAACTATTTTCAATCACTCGAAATTTTCCCCTTTATTTAATTTTTATTATTTTATTTATTATTTATTTTTCAATTAGTTACAATTTGCAAATAAAGATGGAAGAGAATTTTTCGTTTATGTATTTTACTTATTTTTTATTCGTTAAAAAGTTAAAATTCAAGTAAAATTGGAAGAGATTTTTTTTCCAGTAAAAGTAAAAAGTGATAAAAATCATTAAAAAGAGAAAAAAAAGTAAAAAACGAAATTTTTCTGATAGGTTAAAATTTAAATAAAGTGGAAAAGATGTGAGTGATTAAGGAGTTTTTTTTTAATTACTCGGAGTTGTTTGTTTGTTTACTTTATTTATTTTTTATTGGTTAATTTTAAAATAAAGTGAAAGAGAAAAGTGAGATGATTGAAAGGTGAATTCTTTTTAAAATGATAACTCGAATAAAAGTTAATTGCTCCTTTATTATGTGATGATATAAACGTGTTATATATTGTTATCAGATTGCAACAGCCATGTTATGGTGCTGTGTCCTTTACCAAAGTTTCCCTAATGAGATAACGTCAAGGAACATATTTATCTCCGAAACTATCTAACAGTGAGAAACGTGATTATCTACAGAACATTCTCCCGTTTAATATAATCTCAAACATCTCTCATGTTGTTGAAAACTTTTGTGATGGAATTTTTCACACATTAACTACTGTTCTCGTGGCATATATAATTCTCTTATACCTGAAATTTTATAGTAAACATTCTATTTAGTGCGAATTTCATCATATGCTTAATAAACATTCTGTTTAATAAACATTTAGCTTAATAAACAAATTCTGCTTAATAAACTTTAAAAGTAGAAACAAATATAATTTTTATGATGCATTTACAAAAAAATTTTATTTATTTATTGTTTCTGTAAAAGAAATCTAGATTGATTTTTCTAATTTTTCGGATATTTACAATTGTTTATATTACAATTTATAATAAATAATAATTAAAATAAAATAATTAAGATTTTCATATGAAAAATTATTTGTCAGTTAGTTTAAAAGAAAGATTTTTTCTCATTTTGCATAATCGTAAACTTCGAGGACTTTAAATTCCTCGTAAAGTTTCTACCACTTGTGAGAGAGTTTTCATGCCCTCTAGGCGTGAATTTACAGAATAATAATGGCGCGAAATTCAAATTTCGACGATGTTTATGAAGAGTTTATTAACAAATATTCATAAATAAAATTTGATTTACTTTTCATATTTAATAATAGGTACTAATTTATATTTAATTTTTATTAAATTATATTCATTATTATGGATTAAAAGTCAATTAGCAATTTTCCCTTCAATTGAAATAATTTAAACCAGCAACAATTTGCGAGCAGCTGACTTCTCACTCACTTTTTTAAATAAAATTAGCAATTTAAAAAAATAATAAAACGTAAAAATTTTTAATTCAAATTTTTTTTAGAAAAATAATTTAATTAGTTATTGAAAATAATGGATTTATAGAAAAATTTTAGTTAAAAAGAATAAAAAAATTAAATTTCAAAGAACTTACAAATCATTGCAGAAATTCAACTATATTCAAAAGTAATAAAATTCTTATGACAAAATTCAATTATGTTCAAAATTTAAAAAAAATTCTCGACAAAATCCTAATTATTATCTTTATAAATAAAAAAATTCTTTTTCAAAATTCAATTATTTTCAAAAACTTTAATAAAATTCTTGTCAAAATTTCAATTATTTAAAAATAATTTTAATAAAATTGTACGCAAACATTTAATTATTTTCATAAATAATAAAAATTTCACAGGAATTCAAATTATTTACAAACTTTTCTTCTCAATATTTCAAATATTTTCAGAAATAATAAAACACATCGCAGGATTTTAATTACTTTTAATTTAATACAATTTTAATCAAATTCCTTGAAAAATGTAACTATATTCTAAAATTTTTTTTTTAAATTCGTCAAAAGAATTTTTTATAATAATTAAATTAAAATTTAATTTTCTAATAAAAATTGATTGGAAAATAAATTTAGTTTAAATTTTAGATAAAAATAGAATATGGAAATAATTTTTAAGAAGTTACAGTGACAATATTTTTATATATTTATGAAAAAGAAATTATTGTTTTCGAATAATTTTACAATAAAAGATATTTGTAAATAAACTTAACAGAACATTTTTTTCAATACAATTTTTTCCTTTATTTTCTAAAAATTCAAAAAATATTCAGTTTAATTTTCAATTAAATTTTCTAATTGAAAAAAATGTAAATTATAATCATTTTTTTCCTTTCTTTTTAAAAAACTTTGAATTTTATTTAAAAAAATTTTAATTAAGAAATAGAATTGATGCAAATTATTTCCTTATTTATGAAAATTGAGAATTTTCTACAAAAATATTAAAAAATGGGAATATATCTAATGTTTTTCTTCCCAAATGAAAAAAAATGAGTTTATAAACAATATTGTTATTGAGAAATAAAAATTAGAAAATAAAATAAAAATTAACAATTCTCTAGTATTTTTTATAAAGAAAAAAGGGTAATAATTTGCATAAAATTTAGATCGGCCAAACGAAATTTTTTATAGAAAAAAGCATATAACAACCAAAATGAGTATATTTTTTATTTGTTAATCATAATTTTTAAAAAATTTTCTAATTTGTAATATTAGTTTATTATATATTATGAAAAAATATCTGCCTTTTTTTGATTTGTCAAACAATATTTTTAATGAATAAAATAAAAGCATACACAGAAACTAACTTCAAACTGCGGACAGATAATGAATGGAAGAATACGGAGATTAATATAGTTAATTAAAAAATTTTTTTGCTTCCCATGCGAAAAAAGAAACGATTGTAAGCGAAAATAATAAAATTCCAAACTTTGTTATACTTGTAATATTTTGTACAAATATAAAAATTCAAAAATGTAGAAACAAAAAAAAATTTATTTTCATTTCAAAAAAAATTTGAGAAATTAAAAAAAAATAAAAAAAAACAGTTTGAAATGAAAATCTGTCGGAAAAAATTCAAGTGGAAATACTCGAATTGGTGACACTCTATAGGTGGTGGTACAGGTACACGATAGCATTATCGTGATGAGGGGAGGTGAATCGTGAGGGGAGGGAAGAGTATTGCAGCTTGCGCCCTCAGGAGCTCTCACAGTGGCAACATCGGGGTAGAGAAACGGCTCACTTCCGCTTCAGCCGGAAATGGAACGCCGTTTCATTCTTAAGGGAGTACAGTTGAGAGAGACTATCTCGGTACTTCGACTCACAAGAAGTTTAAAATAAGACATGTTCATTATTCTATTACAAAATAATGGCAAAATACTGCACTCAAAAGAATTCACTATTTACTTTCATTTAACTGAATTTTCATTAGATGAAAAATTTTCCATTTAAATGTATTTTTTTCTTTTGTCAAAGAAAAAAAAATTTATTTAATCGTATTTTCCTTGAATGTTGACATTATTTTTTCAGTATTTTTAATTAAAAGTATTTTTTTTTAAAGTATTTTTCCAGTATTTTTAATTCAAAGCATATTTCTAGTATTTTTTAAAAAATTTTTTCTAATGACAGGTTAAATTTAATTAATTGATTGTAATTAGAATTTTTTTATAAGTAAACTAATTTTGCGGAATTCTTTTTTAAGAGAATTTCTATTTAATATGATTGTTATTCAGCAGAATTTCATTTAACAACAGACTTTTTATTTTGCAGAATTTTTGAAGAATTCTTATTTAGCAGTATTTTATTTAACAAAATTCTTATTCATAAGAAATTTCATTCAGTGGAATTTTTATTTAATGGTAATTTCATTAAGCCAAATAAAATTATTTCTAAGTGAAATAAAAATTTACAATTTGTAAAAAAAATATTCTCTTTTAAAAAATATCCGCAAAGTTTCATTTCCTTAAAAAGTAAAAATTCGTCAATTATTAAAATAAAAATTGTAAAAAAAACAATTAATTCGAATTCGAAAAAGTTGAAAAAAAAATTATTTCTCCTCGTATTCCAAACTTGATGTCGATATTGAAATAAAAAAAAAATCTCCCCCTCCTGCCAGTGAATAAAAAAAAACTTTGATTTCCTCAAGCGAGAGACCTATATTTGAAAATCAGATTTCCATCTAGTTTATTTATAAACGTAATCGTCAAGTGCAAATTTTCGTCAGTATTTGTGAATAATGTGTTGGATGGAGGAGGAGGACGCGTGTACTCGACACGATCTGTACTCAACTTGTACAGTTTCTTCAGAGAATGTCAGGAGTGAAGTGGATGACAGCTTTCCCAACGAGAGACGATGCAGGACGACGTGACATCGTCTGAACGCCTCGCGGAGTATGACATACAGCTCTGTAATGTATGCATTCCTAGAATGCATGAGCATATTCCTGGTTTTCGTGGCAGAGAAGAGACTGCGTCAAGCACAAAACTCTCTCTCTCTCTTTCACTCAATCTTTTTTATCTTTTCGTCTCTTTTTCAGCCCCCTTATATCTTTTTCGAATTTTCCCTTGGGATGCCAATCGTATCATCTTCTTTTTTATCTCGTTCTCCTCACTTTCCTTTCCCCCTTTTTTTCGAAGCATGAAACTCGACAAATATCATTAAAAAATTTTATTCGACGTTTGCCAAAATATTCTTTAAGAATCGGGAAAAATTTTGGTTTTAGTCTTGAAGTGAATAATAAAGCAATAATTTTTTATTATTTGACGACCGAGTGATAAAATCATCATTATCACAGTAAATCGTGAGGTATTGAAA